ACTTTGTAACTTCCGCGTTGTTTTGAGTATTTCCATATTAGGGACTTCCCTGTTTCTTTGAGTATTTTCGTCTTATTTTGGGAACCTCCGTCATGTTTTGGGACTTTTCATATTGTCTGGAAAACTTACGTATTTTTTAATGGCTTTTATGTTTTGGTGAGTTCCGTGTTTTTTTTTTTTTTTTTTGGGGGGGGGGCGTGTCTGTGTTGTTTCAGGGACACCTGTGTTGTTGTGGGAAATTCAGTGTAAACGGGAAACAAAATGAATACTTTAAGGCGAGGAAATACCATCATCCAAACTCATGGAGTGATGATGATCCTGAAGATGATGATGAAGAAGATGGCTTTTAATATCATATATAGTTGACATAGATGTGGTTGTTTGGATACAAGTGGATTAGTGCCCGTGCAGTGTACAAGTGAATGTGTGCCTGAATATGGTGAGCATGTGAATATTTGTGGATGTGAATGGGTGTGAAGGATTATGTACTTGCGAATACGGGTGAATATGTGTGTTAAGAATATGAATGTATGGGGATTTGCATGTATGTAGTGTAGTGTACCTGTGAATGTGCGTTTGCAGATGCCTGTGAATTAGAATGCCTGTGGCTCTTCTAAACACGTGAATGTCTGTGGAGGGGGTGCAGATGTGAATGGGCCTGAATATGTAGGATATGTATACATGTGAATGGGAGTGGATGTTGCTTACATGAGACATGGATGATACCTTGTCCACAATTTCTTTAATATATGAAAGAAGGAAATAACTTAAGCACTGACATTGATCATGCATAGTTCCTTTCTATAACTGTGAAGGCAGGCAAACGGGAATCTAATAATTATAGAGAAATAAATCGATTGGTTATACCAGGAAATTTTTATTAGAATTTGGGATGCGGAGGAATATTGTGGACTTAGGATGGTAATGGGATCTGAGGATTAAGTTCTTATTTTGAAGCATGTAAAATAGCAGTTCTGTGATAAGGAAAGGGGGCTATATGTTGCATTTAGGGATTTATAGGCTGGATAGGGAAAAGAGAATGACTAGGCTTCATGAGGAGAATGAAACTTGAAGCATTTAGGAGAAGATAAAAATATTTTCCGTTAAAAGTGTGCCTAAAGTATTTCCCGTTTTCTACACTTTAATGACCCACTTTACTTGACAGTGTTGTATGTCTTATGTTTAGATTTGGACTGTAAAAAAAATAATTTTATGGATGTTTTGGTATTTCAAAACTTATGATAGTAAATCATTTGATAAATAGTGTTTGTAAATAATTCGGTAAATAATGTTAGGAAATAACTGGGTAAATTAAAATGAAACTATTTTGAAATGTAGAGGCTATGTAGCTGGGATAAAATCTACCGCAGAACACCAGAAACATGAACGAGCACGTGAAAAACATCAAAACACTGAAAGCCAATAATAAAGGTCATATCACTTAAAACAAGAGAGCAGTTAGTTTATATTTTATGCTAAACTGCATCTGACTACAGATGCCAAAATAAATTATCACAGCTGCTAAAGAGATCTAAAATGACCCTTGCAAACAGTAGGTGATACCGAAATGCATTCCTTCCATCTATGATATATTTTCATGACTTGAAAATATTGTGTACGAGTGCTGTATCATTCATTCCAAGACACTAGCTACAACATGGTCACAAAGAGGATGAAGGGAAATTAAAAACATTGGAACAACTGGTAAAAATATATACCTGTATCGATATAACTGGAGTGTATGGAAGTGGTTTCCATATCTGAGTTTATATTATAATCGATTTTCTTTGATTTAATGTCTAACCTATTGGTTAATACCTCTCATGATAACATTATGACAAACACAGTTTCTCACATAATTTCACTACTTAGTGCAATAAACATGGATGATTTCATAAGTATAACATCATATAAGGTGCAGAATCTATTTTAGAGATAATTCAAAATAAGAACTTACAAGAACCCAATAAGTAAGGGTTTAAAAAACAAAAGGGGGAGGGCATAGGATGAACAATTTCTCGTGGGTCACATGTCTATTGTATTCAGATGTGCTTACAATTACAAGGTGATAATTTTCTCTGGCAAACAGGACGAGGGTGGTGAAGAATGGTAATGAATTTTGTTCTGTTCTAAGACCTAAGGGGTATACACAAATAACCCGCACATAGAAGAGAGGAGCTTACGACGACGTTTCAGCCCAACTTGGACCATTTACAAAGTCACACTAACGAGAAGTAGAGCAGGACGGGTATATATAGACAGGAAGAGGTAGTGGTAGTAGTAGTAGTAGTAATAAATGGTCCAAATCAGACCGAAACGTCGTCGTAAGCTCCTCTCTTCTATGTGCGGGTTATTGTGTATCGTTCCAGTCACGGTATTGTGCCTTTTTTGTTACCTTAGGGGTATAATGCAATAATCGCGACCAAGTAATGCAAAACAACAATTCACCTCCTCCCGTGGTTTTTTGCACTTAGAGGTATGACTGAAATTTCAATAGTAT